CTGCGGGGCTAGGGTCGCTCGGCCGCCGCCGCCTTTTCAATGGGCACAAGCTCCACGCGCTATGCCTGGCCCCGCCCCTCTCCCCGGGCTCCATTCTCTGGGGTTTGTTGTTCCAGTGCGTGCGCCTGGCGCGTGCCGCTGCGAGCGCTGAATAAACAACTGGAGACGGAGCGAGAGGGGGCGGAGCTTGGGGCTGGCAGCGGCTGAGACCTGCTCTGAGCGGGCACTGCCACCTGCTTTTACTTGGCAGGAAGATATGCCCGGCCACTGCCACCTGACTAGACTAGCTGATACGCCGCAAGCCACATTCAGTGGGCACTGCCACCTGATTACACTCGCACATACCTTCTGCAAGCCACTCGGGGCTGTCCCCTGATTATGCCATTCATCAAGCCATTTCTGGGATTCTGGAGCAGAGGGCACAGACACTGGTGATTCTGATGCTGGAATGGGGAAATATATCGGGGCTGATGATAGCTGCTTTGTGGCATAGGGTGACGGCTGACTACTTGGACAAGTTACTCTGGCACTTTGTATCACTACACATCACTACAAAGTGTCACAGTAACTTGTACAAGTAATCAGCTGTCACCCTATGCCACAAACCAGCGATCATCAGCCCCGATAGAGTGTGCATACTGCTCATGGGTAATGTCTCATGTATAGGGTGTATACTGCTCATGGGTAATGTCTCATGTATAGGGTGTATACTGCTCATAATGTCTCATGTATAGGGTGTATACTGCTCATGGGTAATGTCTCATGTATAGGGTGTATACTGCTCATGGGTAATGTCTCATGTATAGGGTGTATACTGCTCATGGGTAATGTCTCATGTATAGGGTGTATACTGCTCATGGGTAATGTCTCATGTATAGTGTGTATACTGCTCATGGGTAATGTCTCATGTATAGGGTGTATACTGCTCATGGGTAATGTCTCATGTATAGGGTGTATACTGCTCATAATGTCTCATGTATAGGGTGTATACTGCTCATAATGTCTCATGTATAGGGTGTATACTGCTCATGGGTAATGTCTCATGTATAGGGTGTATACTGCTCATGGGTAATGTCTCATGTATAGGGTGTATACTGCTCATAATGTCTCATGTATAGGGTGTATACTGCTCATGGGTAATGTCTCATGTATAGGGTGTATACTGCTCATTCGTAATGTCTCATGTATAGGGTGTATACTGCTCATGGGTAATGTCTCATGTATAGGGTGTATACTGCTCATGGGTAATGTCTCATGTATAGGGTGTATACTGCTCATGGGTAATGTCTCATGTATAGGGTGTATACTGCTCATGGGTAATGTCTCATGTATAGGGTGTATACTGCTCATGGGTAATGTCTCATGTATAGGGTGTATACTGCTCATGGGTAATGTCTCATGTATAGGGTGTATACTGCTCATGGGTAATGTCTCATGTATAGGGTGTATACTGCTCATGGGTAATGTCTCATGTATAGGGTGTATACTGCTCATGGGTAATGTCTCATTTATAGGGTGTATACTGCTCATGGGTAATGTCTCATGTATAGGGTGCATACTGCTCATGGGTAATGTCTCATGTATAGGGTGCATACTGCTCATGGGTAATGTCTCATGTATAGGGTGTATACTGCTCATGGGTAATGTCTCATGTATAGGGTGTATACTGCTCATGGGTAATGTCTCATGTATAGGGTGTATACTGCTCATGGGTAATGTCTCATGTATAGGGTGTATACTGCTCATAAGTAATGTCACATGTATAGGGTGTATACTGCTCATGGGTAATGTGTATACTGCTCATGTATAGGGAGTATACTTTTCATAGGTACTGTGTATATACTGTTCTAGTGTAGAGTGTATTCTGCTCATGTATAGTGTGTATATTGCTCATAAGTATTGTACATACTGCTCATGGGTAATGTGTACATGGATAATTTGTAAACTGCTCATGGGTAGGTTTTATACTACTCATGCCTAGTGTGTATACAGTTCATAGGTAGTGTGTAAACTGTTTATGGGTAGTGTGTATATATTGTCCATGCATAGTGTGTATACCTCTCATGGGTAGTGTATATACTGTTTATGGGTAGTTTATATACTGTTCTTGCATTGTTTATATTCTGTTTTTGTATAGTGTGTAGACTGTTCATGCATAGTGTCTACACCTCTTGTGTACAGCCACACAACACAGGACAACAACTTGTGTACAGCCACACAACACACCTCAGCAACTTGTGTACAGGCACACAACACACCACAACAACTTGTGTACATCCAAACACCACACCACAACTTGTGTACATCCACACACCACAACTTGTGTACAGATACACAGCACAACGCACTGGCTTGCATACAAGCTGCTCGACACTCCTCAACAGCACGAGTACAGCTACAACACACACTACAACATAATGTGCACATCTACACAACACTCCACAACAACATGTGTACAGCGACTCAACAAATCAATCACAATAACCTATTGGCTTTGTTAGCAAGCAATGACAGTCTTTTTCCCTATCAGCAGATAATTCTGCTCACTTTTCAACATGAAATATTCAGTAGGTGTAAACCCACTTGCTCGTTGTCATCTGCACCTTGCACACATTGTTCAAAGTGAACACTATCAGCCTGCTCTCATGAACTACAATCTCTGATCTCATATTGTTGCGTGCAGCCATCCACAGAATGACTACACACACAAGCAACCATTTCCAACAGCTTGGGACTGGAAGCATTCACCATGGGGATGTGTGCATCAGATTGCTGGCAGGGCACATTTGAATATTTCTTTTCCTAGGAATGCAGTGCTATCCGAGGCCGGGAGTAACCCATAGTAACCAGATGGAAATATTTTGTTTAATTAAATAAAGTCTGATTCACTTATATCACTGTAGTTCCACTGGCTGGGCGACTAGTACTGGTGCTCTGATCATTGCCACACATCACTTGGACAGACTAGAACTGGCACTGCTGGCTTCATCAGTGGTTTCCAGCCTATGACACTAACAGCACTGCACACCGAATGCCAGGATAAGTTAGCACTTGCACACGTGCTGGGATCTGGGAGCAGAACTGGGAAGGAAGAATCTGGACTGCATTGTATTTACATGCATTTCACTAAACACGTGCTACAAAGTGTATTCAGTCTGTGAGGGTTATTCACAAAGCTGCCAAAGGCAGCCGAGTGAATAACCGAGCCGAAGTGAACAGAGGCGGACGAAGTTTGACTATTCACTTCAGCTTTGTACGGCTGAACGTACATCGGCTGAAATCAGCTGTACATCGGCTGCCTTCGGTCAGCCAAATTGCAGAAGGAGTTCGACTCAGCCGATCCAACATCTGCATCGGCTAAGCCGCAGCTCCAGCAGCTCACTCGCTGCCGTTCTCTCCTATTCTCATAGGGGCCGAACGCTAGTGAGTGAACAGTCGGCTATTCTGCTCCCTACCTCCGAGGTAGGGAGCAGAATAGAAAGAATGTAAATAAATAAATGGGGAAAAAAAACTTTAAAAACTATTTGAATAGATGTTAAAAAAAGATATATTAAAAGAAAAGTAAAAAAATTCTAAAAAATGATTTTAAGAAAAGAAAAAAAGAGAAAAAGCTTTTGGTTCCCCCTCCCAAACAATACCAGATTCTTTAGGTTTGGTAGGATAGTTAGGAGGGACCCCATTTTTTAAAAAAGGGGGAAAAAGCGTGGGGGTTCCCCCTCAAAGATTAGTGGTGAAGAATGTCACCAGCACACCGAAAATCCTTTCAGGATCACCAAATGTTACAGTCATTACGAGCACCCTATCACTGGGAATATCCGGTAAGGAGTGCAGCAAGATCCTCTTCTTTATCCTGGTTCCCCCTCAAAGTCATACCAGGCCCTTAAGGTCTGGTAGGAATTTGAAGGAGGAACCCCACCCCCACAAATGGGGGGGAAAAAGTGGGGTCCCCCTAAAATTCCCAACCAGACCCGTGATCCGAGCACAGGCCTGGCAGGGCAGGAAAGGGGGAGACAAGTGAGCGCCCCCTCCGTGCCATACCAGGCCACATGCCCTTGCACCGGGAGGGTGCTTTTCCAGGGTCGTCCCTGGAAAAGCACCTTGTTCCCGTGCTGATGGGGACAAGGACGTCTTCCTCACAAGGCTTGGGGCATTGGTTGTGGGGATGCGGGCAGGAAGGCTTATTCACATCGGGGTACCCCTTTAATAAAGGGGTACCCAGATGTGGCCCCCCCTTGTGAATGAGTAAGGGGTACTTGTACCCCTACCCGTTCACTAAAGGGTTAAAGTAAAATAGTAAAAAAAGACGCCAGACTTTCGAAAAAAATCCTTTATTTGAAAAAAAAAACAAAAATGGTCCACGGAATTAATCCTAGGGTCAATCACGATGTCAAGCGTTGTCCACAACGATGACGACTTGACGAAATAAAAAAAAAACAAGAAAAAATAAATAGAATTAATGTTTAAAAAAACAACACCCGCGGACCCATCCGTTAGCGACAAACTCCCGCTGCAGAATGGCATTCTGACAGATAAGTTTCAGAATCCTGAGTCCATTGCGTTGCAGAGACCTGAGTCCATTGCGTTGCAGAGAAACCATGTTGTTTAGGAACTCTCACCGTTCACCATACCCACTAATCACTGCAGCACTGCAGAAAATTTTTTGTTCACAGGTGTATTGTTTTTCATGGGGAGATGCATACAGGTGCTGCGTTCCGATCCGTAACTGAAAATCCGCCAGATTGCTTGCAGGGGTCGGTAAACTGCATTGCCTCCTCCAGACACCTCTGCCTTGCATTCCAGGCTCCGCTGCCTCCACTGTGGGCCTGAGACCAGCATCACAGGTTTGGGTGGGTAGCAGGGATAGAGACCAGTCAATGTCAGTTCACTGTTCTCCTCCCCACTGAATGAACCCTGATTGCATCACTTCCAGCTTCTGAGCTGTAATTCCCCGGCCAGTGAAGCCGGGAAAGAAGCTGATCAATATTCATGGTTAACTCTGAACTGATGACCTGTATGGGCTTTTAAAGTGTTGCCTATGGACATTTTTAAGCTTGGTATGTTGGGTATCTATTTACTCGGCATAACCTCATCTTTTATATGTTACAAAAAAAATTACGTATCATATTGTGCTTTTTTGTGCACTAAAATGAACTGCAATATTTTTTTTACTGAAATGCTGGGCTTGAGAAAGAGTCGCGCTAATATCATGAGACATAAACATTTGCAACTGCCACCATTTTATTCGACAGGGCCTCTGTCTCAGGAAACATTTAACTCAGGAGTGTTTCAGTCATTTTCAGGCCTAAAATGTCGATTTTAAGATGTGTGGAAAAAACACAAAAACAGCTCTGACAGCAAAATGGTTAAAAGTCTACAGATCTGTGTTCGTGCATGCAAATTTTCCCCATTGGAATGAACGAGATATAAGAACACTACACATCTAAACTCTGTTCTTTGTAAATCTGTCACATCTGGGTATCCGTTGGCTTTATAAATCCTACTATACTATACATCTGGGTGAAACTGATTATGGCGTATCATCATTTTAACAAATACCACTTCCCATTTCCCTTTTTCTACAGCGGGACATCTATAGAAGTAGTTTTTCATATAGAAAGGCTCATTTTAAAGCCATTTATATTTCTGTTGGAGAACTGTGCTTCCTGTGTTCCGAAAACAATAAGTCAAAAGAATAGCAATCGCAATCCACTCTCTGGCATGTGTGATAAAAGTTGATAGGCTTCCCATGCACCTGTCACTTTTCTATTGCACAGGTTACAAGGCAAGGGGGGGGAGGGAGTAATAAAAAACAATGTCGCCCCATTAGTCACACACAATGAACTGTAATCAGGCAGCAGAGCTTTGGCAGTGCCGCCAGTCTGTGCAGCACATCAAGATAGGAGCTGAGTTATCAGGAGATCACCCCCTGCCTGGCCATGAAGTGTCAGGCTGATGCGTGACGTCATAGCATCCCCCACACACACACACAATGCGGTGGTGTGAACTGATTTAAAAGAAAACAAGGTAAGCTGACTTGTCCATGCATTGGTACCACGCTTGGCAAGGCAGCCCAGCACAGTCCAACGCACCTGGAGTGAACGGGTTCAAGTTCAAACTCAGTGAATAACCTGAAATGGGTCAAAGGTAAGCAGTAAACTGGCATAGGTTTGAAAAAAAAAATGTTCTATGCAAATGTTCAGGCAAAACTTTTATTAACCATTGCAGTGGGGCCACCCTGCACTGCAAGGGTTAACTGCTCATTTTTATCTAGGTGCTAAAACAACAACGTTTTTATCCTCGAGCTGGCTGGCTAGACTATGCTGCAGCGTTGTAATGTCCCTCGGTGTCCTCATGTCCAATACACAGTGTATTGGACATGATGATTCGAGGATCCTTAGAACACTGCAGCAGAAAGGGAGCCAGGCTGAAGGGACCAGTCTTAAGCTGACCATACACCTATAGATTATCTGCAGATTTTCTATGGTCAGATGGAAAAAGCGTAAGAGGAGACTTTCTTGTTTATCGGGAAGCTGAACAATTTGATTGGATGCAGGCATTGTTCAGGTATTTTGACAGCCAGTGGGGCCGACTATCATGATACTGAAGCTTGGCCCAGTGGGAGATTCCTCAGAGGGAGCATGGAGCTGGCCTCCTGGCTAATCAGAAAGCAGGGCCTCGCGTCATTACACGGCGCCTGGCTTACTGATTGGCCGGCCAGACGGCTCCGGCTGGGTAACGGAGGAAGGCCACGTTCTGGCTGGAGAGGCCCCCGGGGTGAGAGGCTGGACATACCAAGGTAAGAGGGGACTTTCTTGTTTATCGGGAAGCTGGGTGGCGAGTCATTACACGCCACCTGGCTTCCTGAATGGGACTTCCGTTAGTCGGTAATTGGTATCGGCGTGTACCGAAAAAAATTATCGGTACTCATACTCGGTACCAAATTACCGGTATCGGTGCATCCCTAATATATATATTATACACAGGACAGATAGAGAGAGAGAGAGATAATTACACAGTTACAATAATTACTTCATCAAGGTTATTAATAAAAATAAATAAAAAGAGAAACATTCTAGTTCTTTTTAACCAGCCACAAATCAGCATTTTTAACCTAATAACCTTAAGAAGTTCTCTTATTGGTTGAGGTTAGTAAGAGCTCTTCATATGATTTTACCTTATCAAGACCAGTATAGAGTTTCTTGAAGGCTTTTCCTTTTTTCATTGTAGCAAAAGTAAGTGGTTATTACCAGTAAAAGTTTACTGTTG